GAAACCCTTTAGGCTTTTCATATTTTCTTTAGGAGTTAACACAGCTTACAATCACGGGACTTCGTTTTTCAACCTATCATACGACCAAGCTAGCTTTTAAGAATTATCTGGTATCTATTAGATATGAGAATCAACCTAGGGAAACTAAGACGTTGACCTAGACACCTACATCTTACGTGCCTACTACTAACTGACTGAGTTTTTAGATTGATTAGTTCTAGAAAGGTATGTGCAATCATACATTATTTCGTCGAATACACTTCGGATAATAACTACAACACTAACTCATACCTGAGATATAAGTTCATGTTTCAGTCCAAGAATGACATTTCTTGTCTCAGTGTGGTCAGCACGTTTGAAATCGAGGGTGACATTCGCTATTCTTCAGTTCCAGTGAGGGTGAACCCTATGGTTTGGAAGAGTAGTAGTCAAAACAATTATTTATTAAGGGCATCATATGTAAAAACCTGATAGGTTATTGGTTCACACGAGTCCTGTTACCTTAGTTTAATGGTTGTCTTAACTAGTAATTCCTGACTATTACTCTTTGGGTGTTGGTCATTTTAATTAGGGTTTATTGATCTCAATTGCAATTTATCAATTGTTCAGAGATCAAAAAGAATGTCTTGATATTTTTCTCCAATCTAGAGGCAGGTGTAGTCATAGTTTAAGCGTCAAGAGTAGTTTAACAAATTGTTAAGTCCACTCCTCGCTTTGACTTAGCCAATCAATGTACTTTTGAAGTGACGAGGTAACCGGAACTGCCTATTTGATTTCTTACACCAGGGTTTAAACGTTTTAGTTGTTTGTGACATCAAATTCAAATAGATGAGTATACAGGCGGGGAAAGTATATATCTTCCCAGACCCTTAAATAGGACAGAAGTGACTAACAATTAGGACTAGGAACATGTCTTGACTTTTAAATTAATGGTATTTTGATACCCAAAACTTTACGTGGTCGAAAGAGTCAGTTGCACCAACTGGCTTAAGTGGTTACATGAGATAAGGTAAGTTAACATAAAAAAACATTTAACCCAACATGTCAGTACCGACTAATTCAACAAGGGGTTATGACGTTGGATTCGGGGACCCCGCGGCATCTTCGTCTGGTCTTGCTGGCGTCAGTGTCGCACTAAGCGCTAGAGCTGAGGCAGCACTAATCGATTGGATTTCCATTCACAGTCGGTTATGTGCTGTTACATTAGGAAGTTCCATCAAAGTGAGAAGAAATCGGTGTGATAAACGATGTTTTTTCGTCATCTCCGCCTATGCCCCGACAGATTGCAGCCCGGATGCAATCAACGATGAGTTTTAGCACGTTATCTGTTCTTCTTCAGAAAGTGCGTTCGACAGATATTGTAGTACTAGCCGGAGACTTGAATGCTCAGGTCGGGCATCTAGGCACAGAAGAGAGTCATTTAGGTGGCCGATGGGGACTTGTTGGTCGCAGGTCAGATAACGGGAACCGTCTACTGCAATTGTGCACAGACCACAACCTGTTTCTGGCTAGCACTAACTGTCGGCACAGTCATCGCCGATGTGCCACCTGGCGTCCTCCCTCTGCATCCCAAGCCTGGACTCAGATTGATCACATCGCGATCAGCTACCGCTGGCGTGGTTGTGTACAAGACTGCCGCTCCTTTTGGAGTACCTATCTGGACTATGACCATGCCTTGGTCTGCGCCAATCTTACCTTACTTTTCAGTGGCCAACGAAGTGACCGCCACCAACGGATTGATGTTAGCAAGCTGGTTGCAACTTCTGTTGCTAGTAAGTATCGAACTGAGCTAGCCTCTAGGCTAGCTACCATTCCACCCAAAAATTATAGATGAGCATTAGTTGCAATTGCATGACGCCATGAAAATGGCGGGTACAATCAGTTGTGGGTTTGCGAAACGTCCCGCTTATAAGCACTGGGTTTCTTCTGGTTCCTTACAACTCAATGAAGCCCGTCGGTCTACTCCGGGTGACCGTGAGTTTGACCACAAACGAAGGATGTTACGTAGTGAAATCGGGCAAAGCTTGCGTAAGGACCAAGAAGCCTAGTGGTCGGAGCGTGCCGGTGAGCTGGAAGCAGCAGCTGCATCTGGCACTTACCAGAAACTCTTCCAACTCATCCGAGCCAGTGGCAGCAAGAAGTCTCGTGTGAGCGAAACAATCTGTGAGGATGACGGAATGTCAATCACTAACTCTTGAAGCGTTACAAATCACCTGGCCCAGATGACTTACCTCCGGCTCTTTTTAAAGATGGTGGTGACTTTCTGACTAAGGAATTCACGACGTTGTTTACAAAGGGTTGGAAACTAGAGAGTGTACCAACGTCATGGGATGAGTCGATAGTTGTCCCTATCTTCAGAAAGGGTTCACGTCGTTCCTGTAACAACTATCGGGGGATAAGTCTACTTCCGATTGCGTCAAAGCTATTGGCTTCCGTCATACTTCGTAGGTTGTTCAAAACCCGAGAAAGATTGACTCGCGAGGAGCAGGCTGGGTTTCGTTCTGGTCGAGGTTGTATTGATCATATCTTCACCCTCCGCCAAATGTTAGAACATCGTCATACTTATCAAAGGCCAACAATCGTAGTGTTTCTTGACATTAGGGCTGCCTTCGATTCGTTGGACAGGACTGTTCTCTGGGATTGTCTATTGAAGAAGGGTGTGCCTGAGAAGTTTATTAACATCCTAAAAGCCCTATATACAAACACCTCAGGTAGAGTGAGGGCATACAACCACCTCTCTCCATTGTTCCATTCGAGTAGTGGGGTTGGGCAGGGTTGCCCAATCTCACCATTCCTCTTCAACTTTGCCATCGATGACATTCTGGAGACAGCTCTGATGAATGTAGGTAATGGGGCTGTGGATATGTTGCCTGGAGAAAGACTTCTAGACCTTGAGTATACAGATGATATTGTCTTACTGTGCGATAGTGCCCAAGGCATGCCATCCTCACTTAATCAGTTGGCAATCAGTGTCCGTAGGTATGGCATGTGCTTTTCACCTTCGAAGTGCAAAGTACTTCTACAAGACTGGCAGGATTCTAATCCTGTACTCACCCTGGATGGTGAGCAGATAGAAGTAGTCGAGAATTTTGTGTATCTAGGTAACTGCATAAGTGTTGGTGGTGGCGTGAGTGATGAGGTCGATGCACGTATAGTGAAAACTAGAGCGGCTTATGCCTACATGGGCCATCTTTGGCGCCTTTGTGATGTCAGTCTGGCTGTAAGAGGTCGGATCTACAACGCGTCGGTGAGAGCAGTTCTGCTCTATGCTTGTGAAACCTGGTCTCTCCGAGGTGAGGATGTTAGACGACTCTCTGTGTTCGATCATCGTTGTCTCCGAAGGATTGCTGACATCCAGTGGCAACACCATGTTAGTAATGCAGAGGTTCGGCATCGTGTGTTCGTGGACAGAGATGATAATGCAATCGATGTCACCATCTTGAAACACCGACTTCGGTGGCTTGGACAAGTCCTACGAATGTCGTCCAAGACAATTCCACGTCGTGCATTATTTGCCGACTCTGGGACTGGTTGGAAGAAGCGGAGAGGTGGCCAGTGCATGGCATGACATGGTGTCGTGGTATGAAAGAAAGTTGCAAAGGACTGGCTTCTGTCGGTCCTTCACGATTCCCTGGTTGGGGTCCGAGAGATGGTGCTACACAGTGGCTAGAGACGTTATCAGACATGGCTCAGAATAGAAGCCAGTGGCGATCCTGCTGTAACCTTCTTTTACTTTCTTCATAAAAAGTGGTTGTGTTTCCCTTACCTGAAGGATTTCTTCTGATTGTACCTTTCCGTTCCCTCATTATTGCTATTATTATTACTACACTACCGTACACCAACCTCTTCGTTATTGTTCTGTTTTTTTTCTTTCTCTTCGAATTCTCATTGTTTTTTGTGGCGCATATATATTGGCGCTCTCTTGTACCGGTATTTATGTGTTCAAATAAAATAATACGTTGGATTCTGTAATGGAAATGGAATATCTATCTCAGTTCAATTGACTACATGCTTATTGCGAATTATTCGGATGATTAGTCCACATAACTATCGTATCACTGAAAGGGTGCACAACTTAATGTGTAAAAGACTTTGTGGGACGCATAGTTGATATTTAAAATTATGACATATATATATATATATATATATATATATATATATATATATATATATATATATAATATCCTTTTAATAAAAGGTAACTCATTTGACTCTGTAACCCAGTCATTTTACATCTATAATGTACTGTATAGGGCCTTCTAACATGATGCCAGAAACAGCTTATTAAACAAAACAGCAAATATTGTGAATTTACTTTTGATATGACTGATTTCGTAGGCTCAGCTAGTCAAAAAACTACCAAACTTTAAAACAATCTTTATAAAATATATATACAGCACAAAGACAATCACACAAATCCGTCTTGCATAAAAAATATAATTCAGTGGACAGTTACTAAAAAGCTGCCATGTCTATCAAAACCAGCATGACATGGTGTCGTGGTATGAAAGAAAGCTGCAAAGGACTGGCTTCTGTCGGTCCTTCACGATTCCCTGGTTGGGGTCCGAGAGATGGTGCTACACAGTGGCTAGAGACGTTATCAGACATGGCTCAGAATAGAAGCCAGTGGCGATCCTGCTGTAACCTTCTTTTACTTTCTTCATAAAAAGTGGTTGTGTTTCCCCTACCTGAAAGATTTCTTCTGATTGTACCTTTCCGTTCCCTCATTATTGCTATTATTATTACTACACTACCGTACACCAACCTCTTCGTTATTGTTCTGTTTTTTTTCTTTCTCTTCGAATTCTCATTGTTTTTTGTGGCGCATATATATTGGCGCTCTCTTGTACCGGTATTTATGTGTTCAAATAAAATAATACGTTGGATTCTGTAATCTCCAACCATTTGGAGCGAAAAAAAACTTAAAGTACAAATCCAGGTAACGGAAAGGCTAACGGCCTAATTTTGGTTCCATTAATTTAGAAAATTAACGAGTTAATAGTAGGGATAAGAAATTTGCTTTTTTATTTAGTATCTGCAAAACAGTTTTACGATTTCAACATATTTTGACTCCTTCGGTCCTTATACATGGAGTTAATATTATTGTTCTCTTTTGTTCATCTTCACATCGGTTTGGTTTGAATGTGCATACTTGTACCGTCTATTTTGACTTGACTAGGGTCATACGGAGTTCCTCGAAAAGGTGAACCCTCTTTGTTCCAAGCATTGGCGAGTATGTTTTTCATTTTCTGAAATAATTAGAAAAGAAAATGATATGGTCAGGACTTATATTTGCATATATACCGATTTAAGATTTGTTTAAGATTTCTTGACTTTGAATACTTAAGACAGGGAAATTTGTAATTTTAATAGAGGTATTACTAAAGACCATTCATTAAGCTTTTAACACCTGGGATCCTTACAGCCACCAAACAATCTTGATAAGGTAGCATATACGAAGAATGATCGTTTAATCTCCAATAATTTACAAGTTCTGGATGGCCTAACGGTGCCTCTAAGTAGCGATGAGCTCAACATAGTTCCTACAATTTTGATCGCATAAATATTTACAAAGCAATGTAAATGAATGAACAGCAGATGCTAGTAGAATCAACACTTACTTCTTGTTCGCTAGTAAGTAGTCCTTGGCGTTTCCGCTGTTCATCATACATTAACTGTTGGATTTTAGCCTGCGCCTCATCGTCTAGTTCGTGCATAGGCCGAGAGCAATCGATTTTCCGTGTGTTTAGTTTGTCTTCTCCATCAAAAGCAGCTTCCCACCACCGTTCCTGAACCTTGTCAAGACACAGCTGGATCTTGGTTGAAAAAATAATAACTTGAGCATACATTCGTCACAGCAGTTATATCACGTAATATTAAAATAATTGAATAAAGAAATTGAATGATACTCAGAATTAAACATAAACAATAACCATATCCTTGGCACAGGGGAGTACAAAACCAAATAGTCATTCACAACCGACCTTCCATCATCAAGTACATATGCTTATCGTCGACACTGCCCACTTGGTCGTTCCACGAAATGTGAGCAATGCTTCGAGGACACCTATGATTAAAAACCTTTAGTCTACGCATCTCTTCTGGGATCAATAATCATTTTTCACATGCCCTTGGTTAGCAGATGGATATCTCACCTACACAACACGTGACGAAAGTTGCCAAAGGCCAACCGAACTTCCTGGGTTTGTGTCGAGATCTCATGAGACGCCGACCCACCGAGACTGATAAGACTTCCAAAAGTGGTCGACATGCTCAACTATTTCACTCCCTATCATTAGTTCAAGCGGTGACACAGACCATTCCTGAAGCAACATTTCTCACATGTTTGCACTGTTGATAGAAGCGTTCAGAAGAGTGAATTTTATCACCACCTTTACTAAACAGGACTATCACTCGAGTATTGTAAGTCAACTAGTGGATATCCTGGGAAGAGACCAACTTCTGAGAAGTTAGATAAAGAGTGTTATTCCTAGGAGGACATCTATGACGACATTAGAAAAATAATAATCCCGTCCTTTAATGGGATGGTGTCATCAACACTTACCTTTTAATACCTACTTCGTTGATAAGTATGAACAATTGTCTGTTATAACTTATCGTTGTTGCCCTCTCCATCTCTTTTTCGTTTTTCATCACTCCCCACGACCATTAGGTAAACATTTTGTTATAGTTACTGATTATCATTCTCAAAGCTTGTCGGGATGACTTTTTGGGCTTTTATCAACTCAGTAGATGCTATCGAGATCCATTGGGTTTTCCTAACTTTTTGATTTCAGTAATTGATAGATGCAACGGTTGTATTTGCGGTTGCTTGGATATTTTTCCAAGCTTCTTTAAGATGAACTATTTCTCTACACCCGACTAGGTCCTTAGCTAATTTTCCCCCGAAATGCGTCGTTGATCTTTTCATCTTCAAATCGACACCTAAGGAATTTTCTCGCTGTGACTTCCCTATGTTTAGTGAAATGAATTACTTACTTACTTACTTACGCCTGTTACTCTCGATGGAGCATAGGCCGCCGACCAGCATTCTCCAACCCACACTTTCCTGGGCCTTCCTTTCCAGTTCTATCCAATTTTCGTTCATTTTTCTCATGTCTGTTTCCATTTCTCGGCATAATGTGTTTCTTGGTCTTACTCTTCTCCTCTGGCTTTCAGGACCCCATGTGAGGGCTTGCATCGTGACGCAGTTGGACGCTTTCCTCGATGTGTGTCCTATCCACTTCCAGCGCTTCTCCCTGATTTCCTCCTCCGCTGGGATCTGGTTTGTTCTCACCCACAGTACATTGTTGCTGATAGTGTCTGACCAACGGATCTGAAGTATTTTGCGTAGACAACTGTTAATAAACACCTGTATCTTGTGGATGATGGCTTTCGTAGTTCTCCAGGTTCCCGCCCCATACAGTAGAACTGTCTTGGCATTTGTATTGAAAGTTCTGACCTTGGTGTTGGTTGACATTTGTTTTGAGTTCCAGATGTTCTTCAGTTGACGCCTAAGTAATTTTCTTGCTGTGACTTCCATACGTTTAATGAAATGCATAGATGCGTATATTTACTGCGGCATGATCATAATCCATGTGTGTACTTTACTAATAGCAGCAGTTTTCAATCGAACCTCTCTAACGATGCGTGATGGGGATAAATCCACTCGTGTTCAACACTGTGTGTTGGGGGTTCCCAGTTTGAACAGTGTCTGTGCTTATGTTTCAAGTTTTTACCTGCTAGGAATGATCGGTTTTCTGAGAGAAATTGTAGCAGGTAGTTACTGTTATCTGTCCGTCGGGTAGACTGTGGTTGCTACCTCGACGTGGTGGTCGAGTTTGAATATCATAATGACCTAATCGAGGTATATCAGCTGGGACAATTGTTCCTTTATGTCCTATCATGACAGACAGGTCGGTTGGAGCACGGTAAGACTAAAAGCAGTAAACTCGTGGTTCGAGGACGAGGCCGTACTGTTAACTGTACAGGTGTGGTGACAGCAAGATGTTTTCCTCAGATAACCGGCATCTACAGCGACGATATGCCCTCACGGCGAAATGAGAGGGTTAGGAAAACTTGACCCCAAAAATGCTACACTACCCCACGAGTGACCGTCTCTGACGATAGGGACTTCCGAAATGCCCGATTAACACATCAAAAACACCACAAAAGGCCATGTGTGTGACAGGTCTCGAACAGTGGTCCCTTGGGTCACACTTTCAGGTTGCTGAGACTACTAACCCAGTTCCTCTTTCGGGTCGGTCAGCCAGTCAACTACAACGTGAGACTAGGCACATATATACATCGGTCCAAGGTGCCATACCTCGTTAGCACAACAAAATGAACACCGAATTCACAGAAGTAGTAACTTCGATGGTGGTAATATATAAAAGAAAGATTTTGTATAAGAATATGATACAGGAAGGAAGGATGAGTTCGTAGAAAGAAAGGTATAGAGTAATTTTATTCTCATGGTTTAAGAGAAGTCGATTTCAGATTAATTCAATTTATATTTGTTACTTTATAACCGAGTGATCATGACACTTGAGTTATAATTGCTTTCAGTGTGTCTTAGTTAACGATATGGTTTGGTAACATACTTTAGAGGGAAAGTAGCAGTCAGCACCTAGGTTTTAGGAAGACAGTATGCTTTGTTTGACATATTAACTACGTGAGTTTAAATAGTTTATTTTTACGTGAAACAATGGAGACTAGAAGCAACCAAAACATGGACTAACTGACTAGGTTATGGACTCGCGTTTAATCTGATTAAATAAAACATGATTGATAATAACCTGGAAGTTGGAGGTTCTATATTGCCATTATGATTAATTTTGATAACTGAAATGTGAGTTTTATTTTTGTGTTCGTTTTTGCATTGACTATAATTTACTGACTAACGCGCCAACATCTATATACTAGTACAAAAACTCTCGTACGCAAAATGTGATAGTTTTTTGTACGAGGTATATGGGCACCCGCAAATTTATCAATGCATGTGGCAGTAATGGGGTCATTTTTTATAGATTCATTTTAGCAATAACAGAAGTCCCGCGAACATAAAAATAAGATGTATAAGCAATGGACTGATGACTGACTTGATTTTCTTTGGAGTGGAAGGTCCAGATAGCATCATTCTTGTGAATCTCCCAACACAAATCCCCATCGAAACAAAAAATTTCTTTCTTGTCTTTTTTAATTGAAACACGAATATGTTTGCGTTCAATATTAACAGAAATATTGCGAGCATCCACGTTTTCTGGTATCTGTATGGGATAAAAAGTTATTTAAATTAAGAGCATAAAAACCTTTATTTTAATATCAATATCCTTGATAGTTTGGCTCCATGTGTATTTATCTCTAATGGCTCCGTTGTAGCAATCGGGATCTGCCTGATAAACTTTAAATTCATCATTTCTAGTTATTGGAAGTAAACTCTATTTACAAACACATACTCTTCACTTTTCGATGTTAAGTTTGTAACGCTTGATGGACACCCAGATACCTTTTTATCATCGTTTGAAGGTAAGTCAGTGGTATTTGACTGTTTTGGTTCTTCTTTAGTGACCGATTCTACAATTTCTTAAAATGAACCGGGAAAGAGACTTACTGGTTGGTTGGTTGGTGTCTACTTGGCGATGACGCTGATAACCCTCAAATATTGTTTTATATTTCTCGTAAGCCTGGAAAATATTTTGATATCACAACACACCTTAAGAATCATTTCGATGCTCACACCAGGTGGGAAACCTATTTTTTTTTGTTCTGGTGTCATAATATAGAAAAAGTCGGTCCTGAAGACAATTAAAATTCTGTTACAATAGATACCTGCGCATTAAGAACCCGAATATCACATCTAAAAACTTTTCTAACTTCCCTTCGTTTTGGAGAATACCCAGTAGCGCGTTATCATATTGAATATTGACGTTAGTCATTTTAGACGTAACGGGCTATAAGGGAAATAAATATTACTAAGATGTGTGTCGTCAGATAAATTTTCTTTTAGAAAACCAATTTACGCGGATGTAGACGAGAACATATCTATGATCATGTCTATGACAAAGGTGAACAAAAATGATGATATTAGGCAACTATTATGAAAATTGCAGTAGGAGAATAGCATGAGCAGTTCGTTGCATAGGTACACAGAACAGTTCCAAATTCGATTTGTAAATTGCAGCATCTAATACGTCTAAATTTATAGCTAGACTAATGGCCAACAATGAACATCTTAAATGTAAAGTAGAAAATAAGCCATAGCACGAACTATCTCAGTTTACAAAAATCAATCGTTACAAGGGTGTACACAGAGTGCATACACTGACGCCATTGTGATCGATTCTCAGTCATGTCACCCAGTCTCCAACGAAGTAGTCTGCATCTACCAAAATGTCTCAGACTAGAAGTTAGTGACTTCAAGGACTGATGCGACGTTTTGGTTCGATCGCCCCTAACTTCCTTCCAACCGTCTCCAACACTAGTCAGCATCGCGCACCGTGGTAGTCAGTGGTTGTATATGCGTAACACGTGACCCAACCATCTCAGTCAATGAAGATTCACAACCTCATCAACTGATTTACCATCATTCCCCAATCGCCTGAATCTAACCTCACTTTTACTTACCCAGTGATCTTAGAAGATGCGAGCAATATTTCTAAGACATCTGTGATCAAATACAAGTGATTTAAGAGTATCTTCTACTCATAATGGTTACGTTTCGCAACCATAAAGTAGAACAGAACGAACTGCTACGCAGTATACTCGTCCCTTAATTGATAGACGGATATCTCACCTTCGCCATAGGCCGCAAAAGCCAAACGAGCTTTCTGAATCCGTGCAGAGATTTCGTCAGACACCAATTCATTACAGCTGATCAGACTTCCGAGATAAGTGAAATTGTCAACGCGTTCAACTACTTCACTCCCTATCCTTAGTTGAGGTGTTGACGAAGACCAGTCCTGAAGCAACAACTTGGATTTAGAGGTAGATAAGTGCATTCCAAACATGCTGACATTGCTGCTTAGTGCTACCAAAAGACTTTGCATTTTATCAGCGTCTTCAACAAACAGTACTATGTCGTCTGTATATTCTAGGTCGATATGTGGACCTCCTGGAAGATCGATTCCCGAAAATTCAGTCGACAAGAATGTTATTTCCATCAGTAGGTCTATGGTGAAGTTGAACAACAATGGAGAAAGTGAACAGCCTTGACGGATACCACTTGAGGTTGCAAAAGCAGATGACAGTTCGTCATTAGCTCTCACTCGAATAGTAGTGTTCTAGTAAAGAGCCTTCAAAAGGTCGATGTACTTCTAAGGCACACCTTTCAATGAGAGACACTGCCACAGAACCTCTCGGTCTACAGAGTCAAATTCTTCATTTATGCGTCATACGACTGCTTAGCCTATATCCTTGGCCCAAGCTCCTATCTGTCCTTCTTAAGTTTTGACATAATAGTTGTTGTATGGCGCTTAAATGGCCTGACTTAATTTGAGATATTCCCACTTAAATTATATTTGAAATGTACCCATTATTGCTTGGGTTTTCAGTTTAGTGAAATAAACAGAACAGAAGTATGGATTAGTTAAGCAGCTGTTACTCCCGGCTTAAATTGCAGTTTATGCTTAATTAAGTTCGATATTTCCTTATCTAACGTAACTAGACATTCATGCAGTGAAGATGGGTTATTTAGAGTTCCTGTATGTTTTTAGGATTTTATGGACAAAGAACTATGTACATTTATTCACGCACATCAAATAAAAACAGGGACTTATTTGAGTATAGATAACAAAATTCGAATAACACTTACCTAGATAAAGCTAAATAATATAAAAGCAGATCTTGTCTTCTTGGGCCGTTTATTGTTAGCGCGTAAAGTCTAGGTATACAAACCTCAATGAAGAAAATTATTGAAATAAATATTTCGTTGATTCTGTGTTCAAATAAATGATGTGAATGACAGATTTTTTAAAGGGTTAGTTCTTGTTTTAGGAAATTTAGGAACTCGCTATGTTTGAGTTTTAACAAATGGAGGTGAATTGGGTCAACATGCCATAAATAATATTAGTTGGACAAAGCCTTTACCTTTAACACCTTTATAATCGATGTATGCCAACCCAGTCAAATAGGAAGTCAGAACTGAGGGGGCTCAAAGTTGCATTTGAAAGTCAATCGATGTCTCGTGAAGCATTTGATCCAAGCTGGTTAACGGTTTTACGGGGTGTCTAGCACAGCATAGCTCCCCCCCAGTTATCTGGTGTGGATGACTGATCAAGCGCCTTAAGCTAAGTGTATCAAGTAGAACTGGTGAGGTAAACATCAATGTCAACGACCCACAGAACTATTTATTTGGATGACTTATTCACCGCTACAGCTTACTCCCTCTTTAGTTGAGCAGTGATGACCCTAAGATGTGGCCAGTCAGAAGTATAAACCCAGTGAGTTTGTCGTTTGTAAACACTCCTCTGATAGCTTGCTATGTTCAGCACCACCTTCTCATCATTCCCTGATCTAAGGAGCCATATGGTAACAATAGCATTGAAAAAAGTGCAATGAAAATATCTGTACCTCGTATTCTTCATTAGTTTCTTATGTTTTCGAATCCTCCTGAAAAAGACAAGGAAAGTAAGTGTAGGCCCATGCCGAAATGCATTCGTACGTATATAAAAACACAAATAGCAGAAAAGAGGAAAATAAACTTGTATACATAAATTTTGATAACAAGCAATAACATAGAAACAAATTTCTCACAATGGTTGTTTTGATTTTTGGTAGAAAAATATGCTCTCATATTGTGCATATTACATAGAACATGTGTTGTCTTTGTTCTTCTGAAATAAATTTACAAAAAAAACGAGATGAAAGAAACTTTTATGCAGTTTTCTACACTCAGCATCGTTGAAGTGTTCGGAAACGTTAACTTTCTTCTGGAGTGTGTTGTTTTATGCCCGAAATCAGTAGTTCTTTAGGTCTTCCACATTGATGTCGACCTCACCAATTCCACCTGATACACTTAGCTTAAGGCGCTTGATCAGTCATCCACACCAGATAACTGGGGAGAGCTACGCTGTGCTAGACACCCCGTAAAACCGTTAACCAGCTTGGATCAAATGCTTCACGAGACATCGATTGACTTTCAAATGCAACTTTGAGCCCCCTCAGTTCTGACTTCCTATTTGACTGGGTTGGCATACGTCGATTATAAATGTGTTACCGGAAAGGGCTTTGTCAATCTTTCAACACCTGTGGGATGTTCAAATTGTTTGGATAAATATGTCCTCGATTTTCTCCCCTAGCGTAACGATTTTAGCAGCGTCTGGTCGTCTTTCCTAACTATAACAAACCACATAGTACAATAAAGTAATAAAGAAACTAGGTACAATGAAAATTTCGGTTCCTCGTAAACTTCATCGTTCTTTTTATCCTTTTTACAGCCGTCTTGGACATGAACAATAGGATATGTAAGTGCATGTCGAAATACACTCGTACGCGCGTAAAGACACAAAGAGGAGAAAAAAGAAACTACACTCACATACATGCGATTGCGTGAGAGCGATTTTAAAAGAATTTTTTTGGTTTTTTCAAGAAAATAATTAAATATACACATACCAGCAAAACATTGTATTTTTGGAATAAATATATAAGTATAAGCATTTAAAAATTTTTTATCATATGTAATACAAAGGAAAATCGGGATGAAGTAAACTGTTAACTGGTGTCTTACGCGCAATATTCGTATAAATTTCCTGGAAATCTCACTCTTTTTCCAGAGCGCGTTATTCTGAGTCTGTTTTCAGATACTGCCAAAGTACTATCATGCATGTTGTCGGATGAAGTGTCATGAATGTAGGAGTCGTGACGTCCGATTGTACCGAAGGAAAATTGACGTGATAGGGTTTCCTTTGACGCAGTCGATGCTGATGCAATTGTTAGTTCCATTCTTGTTGACTATATAATACTTAGGTCCGCGTTGAAAAACTTTGAATTGTCCTTTGTATGTTGGTTCGAGTGGTCGTTGATGTGAGTCTCGACGAACGAATACGTGTGTACTATATCGAAACTCAGGTTGAACGAAAACATCAGTTGACTGGAGTCGAGTGGAAACAGGATTAAGTGAACGTATTGCGTTTGTAAGCCTGCTCGTGTAGGAGGTTAACCCCATATTTATTGAATATGAATGATCCACGAATTCTTCCGGCAGGCAAAATGTCGTTCCATAAAGGAGCTGAGCTGCAGTGTATTCAATGTCAGCCTTCAATGCATCGCGAATACCGAGTGGTAGAGAGCAGGTGGGGAAGCTTTTAGTTGTCGGTGAAAGCGTTCTACCAACCTGTTTGCTCGTAGGTAGTCGTTTGGAATCGTGTGATTCCTAATAGTGTGGTCAGACAACGGAAAAGTCCAGATTCAAACTGGCGTCCGCGGTCTATAGTAATAGTTCAAGGGCAACCGAATTTTGTTACCCAACGTTTGACTCAGGCCCGGGCTACTGTTTCGGAAGTAATGTCCATGATGAGTACTGCTTCTGGCCATTATGTGAATTGGTCTACACACGTTAAGAGTATCCATTTGAATCTGGTAAGGGCCCTACCAAATCAAGATGAACGTGGTCGAAACGAGCATCGGGATTTTTGAATGAGCCCAAAATACATTTGTTGTGTTTAATCACCTTAGATTTCTGGCAGCTTACATAGGAGCGTGCCCACTCCCTTATGTCTTTATTCATAACAGGCCAACTAAATCGTTCTGCTATGAGCTTAATGGTTGCATGTACACCTGGATGAGAAAGTTTGTGAAACGTATTGACGACGTTGAGTCGATAATGGATGATCCCTATCTGTAAATGTGTCGCATAATAAGGTTTCCTTACCTGTCCTCACCTGTCTAATACACAGTTTTAGGGTTGTTGAAGATAATTTGGGCTGAAGATCAGTGTCTTCTTTTGAAGCTGGGCGAGTTTGAGAAGATCAATTACTTGGGAACTGCTCAAGGATGTTATGTGAGACAAGGCATCTGAGACTACATTGTTTGCTCCAGAAATATGTTGAAGGTCTGAAGTAAACTGCGAAATAAACCAGTTGTCGAGACTCACGAGGTGAGTGCTTGTTTGAAGATAAGCTTAAAGAAAAGGCAGGAGGTTTATGATCAGTAGAAAGAGTGAAACCTCGGTCCTCGATATAGTGTTGAAAATACCGTGCATCACAATACATAGCTAGGATTCCCCTACCGAAAGTGCTGTACCTCGATTCAGTGTCTAGCAACCGTCGTGAGAAAAATGCTAAAGGTTGACAGATGTGGTTAACCCATCGTTGTGAAACTCCTCTGATTGCCGAGTTGGATACTAATGGGTGTCCTAATGTGCAAGCATAGTTGTTTTCGAGATGAGTTCCTTATCTGTGGAGAATGCTTTTCGCGCGGTATCGTCCAAATTGATGGACTTCGTATTTCCACGAAGTTGGTCGGCTAGCGGTTTCAAAAGCGACGCGCAGTTCCGTATAAACAGTCAATAGAAACTTACAAGGCCGTTAAATGTGCATAATTGTTTAATAGTTGTCGGTTCTGAGTAATTCAAAACGGCAACCACTTTGCTTCTAAGAAGTCGCATGCCATGTGCATCAATAATATGTCCTAGGAAATCTATGGGGTCGGTTTCGATTTGGCATTTCTGAATGTTACCAGTAATGCCCTGTTTTTGCAGTCGTTCGAAAACAAGGTTCAGATGCTACAGATGGGATACTCTGTACGAACTTGCTACCAAGCAGTCATCAACATACGCATGTACGAAGTTGAGACCTCGAAAAACGTCATCTATGAACCTTTGGAATGTGTGGCAGCATTCCTTAGGCCGAATGTCGTGCACGAAGATTCGTAGAATCCTAAAGGAGTGATGATAGTGCTTTCAGGAATGGCTTTAGTTATAAGCTTTAACCCACTCGATTTTGGAATCATCGTTGTATCTTTCAAGGTAGTTGTCAAATCGTGAATTTGGTGCAACGGGTAACGATCGGGAATGGTTTTCTCATTCAATCGCCGATAGTCACCTGTTGGACGCTAATCGTTGCTGTCCTTTTTAGGGATCATGTACGAGGGAGATGCTCATGAGCTGTTTGACGGTCGAATGATTCCTAACTCTATCATGTGATCGAATTCGTTTTTGGCCAACCTCAGCTTTTCGGGAGCTATTCGGCGCGCTTTCGAGAATTCAGGTGCTTCAGTAGTCGTGATGTGACGTGTGACATTGCTGGTTACATACTGGGATTTCGGTTGTGGTTATTATATCCCAGAAAACTTATCGAGTAATGGTTGATAAAAGATAGGAGATAATCTGTAACCGGAAAAACTAGTGTTTCCGTTTAGTAGCACCCGTTTGCGCGTATCTAAGAGTAGATTGTGGTATTGTAGGAGATCTGTATCGATGATTAGCATAGAAACATCTGCAACAATAAAGATCCAGTGAATGGATTCACGTAAACTCACGTTAAGGTAAACGTACCTTTTGCCGTATGTGGCAGTATGCTTTCCATTTGCCGCCTGTAGATTTTAAACCGATTCGTGAAGCCGGTCGTTAGAATTTGCTGGAAGAACGCTACCTTCTGCGCAAGTATAGACGAGGTAGCGAATTTTCGTTATCACATTTGTGACGTATAACAGATGGCTGTTTTCGCCGGCTACGGTTGCTATTAACGCGCGCCGGCTGGGAAATTTCCCGTATTGTTTTTGAGTTCGGAAAATTGCAGGTTTTGCTGCAATTTCGAGAAGATATTCCGTACTGGTTATGATATCAGCACCAGTCTGGGTTATCAGTCTCTCGCGGTCTAGAGACAGATCGCTTGCGTGAAGTGCATTATCGCGGAGTATGTGACCGTTTACGGTCGTTACGAAATCTAAGATAACGTGTACATTATAAGGTTACGTGATTTCTAAGTTGCGGTCGGTAAATGCAGTCAGTTCGTCTAACGCGTTGTT